ACCCTGTCCCTATCACGAAATTTAGCAGACAGGACAAAATTACCAAAATCTATTCATTCCCGACTAAATGGAAAACTCGATGCAAGGTATACTCATTCACAATATGAATCTAAATTTCAGTTTTAAGCAGACAAAAACGATGTTTTCTATCGAAAGTGATGTCTAGCACGCGAATAAGTTCAATTTTATATGGACGGAGTTATGTGCGCATTAGTAATGTTGATGTGTATTGTTGAATCTGTGTTTGTGGATTTGGTTTGAAATACGGCAAAATTCAGTTGCTTTCTTTTTTGTAGTGTATTTTTGTTTATATAATTAGGTAGAATAAGAAAATGAGCATATAATAAAACGGTTACTGCATTTGTATGGGAAAATATGAACTCAATTTGTCGGATGGATATACTATACTCCCATTTTCCCTGTATGTGTATGCCTGTCATTTCATTCTTTATTTCTTTTTTCATTCCACCTCATTATTTCTTTATCCCTTCTTTCTTTCATTCCACAAACGAACATATGCATCTATATTTCTCTATAGTATTCACCCAGTCCGATGCCCTTTGGTGTCCTGTTTCTCTGTTCATCTACATATGATACTGACCTAACAAGTTCGGGAATAAACTGATGCATCCTGGGAAGAAATTATCGGCGCAACGTTTAATTGGCGTATAGATGTTCATCAGGGAAGATAAGAGCTGACTGATTGACAGAAGTGGTGATACATTATCTCCATAGATTTATGAGGTGTTTGATGGATCATTCACATCTTCATCTACTCTACTACGATACGCCGATTTTGATATATTATTAATTCGTGCTACTTTAACTCTGCCTGAAATGCTATAAAAAGTTGACCAGTTTGTGAAAGAAATTATTATATAAAACGTAATTTTATTATGATGCTTGTATTATGAGCAGAAATAATTGACAGTATACACATCAAAAGTTGTATTCTCTTTCTTGACACAGAAGATCTGCAGTTAGAACATAATTGATTCGGAGTGTTTCAAAGATATTCGTTACATCCCGTAGCCGAAGCTTAATAAGATGATTGTCATCTATCGGTCAGTAGCGAAGATGTGAATAAGGAGTATAGTATTTTTTTTCGTATTTGAGAGGTATGCGTGGGTCTTAAATAGAACTTGAAAAATATCCCTAGACTTTTATCATTTGTTCTATTTTAGATATAACCACAGAAACTAGGACGATCATTAGCAAACACTTTTTTCATTCACGCAATATAAATAATGGCACAAAACTATACTTACTGAATTTAAAAGTTGTCTGAGAGGTGTTACAAATATATCTAGAGATTATACTAAAATCAGCCATGATAATACCAAGGTTTATCTGTTTACAGGTCTATATGGGATAAAGTGGGGTAAATGACTCTTGGTTAATACAACAAAACTATACAAGGGAATAAAATACTGATTATTTTGAACATCTCAAACACCGATTTAAAGATAGACATCATTGTTTTGGGGAAAATGGAGATTTTACAAAATAATACCGCTCCTGTGGCCCAAAACTTAAAGCGTCCGCCTCTGAAGCGGGAAGTCGTTGGTTCAAAATCCGGCTGAATCATACCAAAGACTAGGCAATCAGCATTGAGAGGTTAGTGCTAGGACTGGTCAGCATGGTGTCAGGATAATGTGACTGGTTGGCACATCATGTTACACGTCTGCAACATTATGCCCCAGTGCTAGACATAAAAAGTCACCCTGCAGACGTCATAGCAATATGACTGCAAAATTGTTAAAGCTTCTTGATAAAAGCAATCACACACACGCGCGCGCGCGCACACACACACACACTAATATTCTAAGTTTACTTCCCAGTACCAGAGCTATTGCAATAAAAGTTCAAGCTGTTTTGTGTCAGTTTCGCTGTTAATTATTGACTCCCATATGATGACATATGTGAAAACATCACTAGATTGTGGAGGTTTTTACATTTTATACGCTTATGAAGTATATACCTGATGTCACAATCTCTATTAATTGTGGTCTGATATTGCTCATTAATACCATCATAAATAAAACGTATAAATCTATGCAGCTGATTGAATATATAATTTGATACCACAACATTTCTTTAATATATCATCATTTATCACGCAAGATGTCATTCCAGGTTTTCCATTGTGTCACTTCAACCCACAGCGATATTTTGATTGACTCTTTCCTGGGACATAAAACATAAATATATTCATTTCAGTGGCTAAGGCACTATTTTCGCTACCTATTTGACACATATTAAGATCATGCGATTATTAAGCTTGCATGAAGTCATATAAAGTTTTATTAACCAGAAAACATATATTGACCAAAGAGAAGCCGATATCAGTATCAAAGGTTTAATGGTTCACACAGCTTGATATGTTCAGAGACTACAGTTACTTAAAAATTAACTTTAACTTGCATATTATAATATAATTTAGCTACCATTTTGAATATTCATTTATATTTCTCATGGGAGTCGAATAAATCTAAAAGCACAAACGTTTTAACTGAGTAAATCAAAACCACCGGACCATTACACATGCAAATACCTTTTCCTATAATCCATTACAAATGTACATACCTTATCCTATAGTCCATTACATATGTACATAACTTTTCCTATGGACCATTACACATGTACATACCTTATCCTATAGTCCATTACACATGTACATACCTTATCCTATAGTCATTTACACATGTACATACCTTATCCTTTAGTCATTTACACATGTACATACCTTATCCTATATTCCATTACACATGTACATACCTTATTCTATAGTCCATTACACATGTACATACCTTATCCTATAGTCCATTACACATGTGCATACCTTATCCTATATTCCATTACACATGTACATACCTTATTCTATAGTCCATTACACATGTGCATACCTTATCCTATAGTCCATTACACATGTACATACCTTTTTCTTACAGTCCATTACACATGTACATACCTTATCCTATAGTCCAGTACATAGGTACATACCTTTTCTTATAGTCCATTACACATGTACATACCATATCCTATAGTCATTTACACATCTACATACCTTATCCTATAGTCCATTACACATACACATACCATATCCTATAGTCCATTACACATGTACATACCTTATCCTATAGTCATTTACACATGTACATACCTTATCCTATAGTCCATTACACATGTACATATTTTATCCTATAGTCCATTACACATGTACATACCTTATCCTATAGTCCATTACACATGTACATGCCTTATCCTATAGTCCATTACACATGTACATACCTTATCCTATAGTCATTTACATATGTACATACCTTATCCTATAGTCCATTACACACGTACATATCTTATCCTATAGTCCATTGCACACGTACAAACCTTATCCTACTGTTTAGAATTCTCTTATAATTATAGTGTGATAACAAATTTTAAGGAAGCATGTTCTGCATTCTTACACTTATAACTGTATTTTATATCAAGGTTCCTATAATGTTAAATTATGTGCAGACAAATATTCGTGTTTGCACATCTGTAGGCAGGACAAAGCATTGCTATTGCAATTCATTTTAACTGGGCCACTGTCACAAAAAACATACTGATAAAAGTAATGAATGAAGTAAGGTGAAAATAACATTTCACAACATTCCAACCATCCATGAAATGCCGTTACATTTAATGCTGCATGTCATTTTCTCAAACTTTAAAAGAATGAAAAAAAAAATAATTAAAGTTTCATACCTTGGATATTGTTGATGATACGTCATCAAATCAGCTTGACGTAAGTGATGTTATTACGATGCAATAAACAATAGGCATGAGAGTATTGGAAGATGACCATTATTCAGATACTACATTTTCTAGCATTTCGATTGGTCGTTTATTGTTTCTTAAAGTAGCATCAGAATTAGTATAATAATACAAAAAAAGCTTCACCATCCAAATTATTGAAGGACCCGGCAAACAAATCATGTTCCTTTAATTTGTGACATAGTTGTGTCTTTGTTCCATTTTTGTTATTCTTCATTTTCACAATCAGCATCAACAAATCAGAACAAAGTATTACTTCCTGCAAATGCCAAATCGTACATTGCAGAACAAAGTATTACCTCCTGCAAATGCCAAAGCGTACGTTGCAGAATAAAGTATTACTTCCTGCAGATGCCAAAGCGTACATTGCAAAACAAATTATTATTTCCTGCAAATGCCAAAAAGTACATTGCATAACAAAGTATTACTTCCTGCAAATGCTAAAGCGTACATTGCAGAACAAAGTATTACTTCCTGCAATTGCCAAAGCGTACATTGCAGAACAAAGTATTACTTCCTGCAAATGCCAAAGCGTACCTTGCCACAATCCAGCAACTTCTGCTGCAGTCTTCAGATTAATGGCCAAAATGCAAAATCGTTACTGATTCAATTTTTAAGTTTAAATCCAACAGAAGAGTTCCTTCTTATTTTCGATCCAATTTATTTTTAAAACTTTATTTTCTTCAAGATTGTGTATACGTGTCTTTAATATTGTAATGAGGAATTTCTGGTTCTTTCTTAAAGTTTAATATGTAACAAATCATTGGATTTTTCCCAATCTTCAATGTAAAAACCAACACAAAAGTATAACTAATCCGATTCTATAGGTGTGGGTTCAACACATTAGCTGAACACCATTTTGTATTAGTCTGATATTTATATTTGAACTATATACTGACCTAAGCTGATTATTTTGCGTTGATCAGCACAGAATGGAAGAGCGTATTAATAAATGTTAACTACTGTTTTAGGTATGATTTCAGACTTATATCAAGTAACTCCCCTATTTAAGCATATAACTTCAGATGCGATGTTCATTTCTATATTTTTAGAAAATATTATTTCGTTTTTATTATTTACTGTTTAATGAGTAACATCTGTTACAATGTATAGACGATAATGCAAGACACATCCAGGTAAATTTTGTAGATGGTAATGCAATACACATCCAGGCAAATACATGCAGCTACGGTAGCCTAGTGGTTAGAGCGACCGCCTCAGATGCAAGAGGTGTTGGTTCGATTCCCGGTCGAGTCATACCAAATACTTACACAAAAGGTACTAACAATTGCTTAAGGCACTAAAATTTACCAACAACTACCTTTTAATATTTATGTGTTGGATACTTTCCTCCTGTTTGCACTCATCTCAGCCTTATTTTTGTGCTGGTTGAAAAACAAATTAAGATCTTCATGACTTATTTCGTCAAATTAGTCCCTTGCTCAATATCTGTTCAATTAGACAAGATCATTAAAATGTTATTTCAACAAACCCAGGTAAAGTTGCACTGATACAATAAATAACTCATGCGGTTCCTAAGCCAGCAGTTATTGCACCCATACAACCCTACAAAACCCTCCAGAGTTTAAAATTTTACGTTTTTTTAATCGTATATCTCTATAATGTTTTATTTCTAAAACCAAATAATTCTTAACTTCATCAATGTATTGCATTAATCGTGTGTGTGTGTGTGTGTGTGTGTGTGTGTGTGTGTGTGTGTGTATTATGCCTTTAACGTTTTCGTTTGGTAGAGTCCCTTATGGTACCAAAACCCCAACTGTAAACTTTAAAAGTAAAAATAATAATGCCTCATCGAATTCAGATTTTAAGTTAATATACATATCACGATTTGGAAGTCTTGTACAGGCATTGATTTAAAACATCAAAAAGAACTTTTGCAGACATTGATTTAAAACATCACGACAGAAATCTTTCATGGGCATTGACTCAGAACATCAAAACAGATATGAGGCTGAAAATTATGGGCGCTCCAGCTATCAATGTTTAGCGAATGTGTGCTAATTTTACTAAACCCGAAGGAGTTAGTATTGGTGATTAAGATTGTTACGTGTAAGCTCGTACAAAAAAAAAGAAATGAGTGAAGCTGACAAGTTTTATATATTTTAGCAAAATAATTTATTTCCCTAGAACAAGATGTGCAAAATATGAAAAAGGACTTACGGTTTATGAATATAGTCCAAAAATTGATCATAGAATTGAAATATAAGTCCTATCGCTAAAAAGTTCCAATCGAATCCAGGATCAAATCTCAATGAAGTTCCAATATGGAAGGCAATGATGTCAGATGAAGTCTTTGTACTAAAGGCAACAGTTCCTCGTTGAATCAAGAATAATATTCCGGCTTTAGAATTCCAATTAATTTCCACTGAATGTCTTTGTCCTAGACTTTAATGAAGAAGCACGTATTTTCCAGACAATATAAATTATTCGTAAATAACAAATAACTCAAAAATATCAAAAACACCAAAATACCTAAAGGTATTTCTACAATTAATTAAATTTAATACCAATTAATTGTTTAAGCCTAGATACTAAATCACATGGTATTTCACGTGACAAACTACGTGATTTCTAACTTGAACATCGCAAAACAAATCTTGTAATTTGTCATGTAGCTTATAATAGCTCTACCTAAAAAGAATTAGAATCTCACGCTATAAATTAATAATAATTGGGTTGCTTAAAAAAAGAACTGTTTACACATGGGTAACACGTGGGCTTGACATAACCTTGGGATTAGCTAATAATTTCCACTTAGAGTTTATGAATTTGCAAACCATTGTCCGCTCGAAATGATGATAAAGTAACTATTAATTTCTAATTAGGTTAAGATAATTTTGTTAAACGAGATTCAAATACAATGAAAATTATTACTACAATAAAATATAATGAAACAAAAATATATACAAATTAAGGCCAACACACAAGCAAATTGACTATATATTCGTAGCAAGATATACATCATTTTATTGCATTTGATTCTTTTGACTTTTAGGATTCAGAACAGTAAAAAAATCTGTTAGCAGAATACAAATTATGAAGCTAATAAATACAGAGAAAGATGATAAACTGTCATTAGAAACAGCAAGATGCAAACTATACAAAATATTCCGAAGCTTTCAAAACTGTGATATTTTGTGCAAAAGCTTTTCACAATATTAATTCTGACATTTATTTTTTCTCTGATTCTTGAAACTGATTTGTCTGAATGTTATCAAACTAACAGTTCTTTTCTGATAAAGGTGGCCATAACTTATATTAACTAAACTGAAAAAGTAAAGATAAATATTCGAGGTCGCATAATTGTTAACACTTTTTAAAATCATCAGCTGTTAAAATTGTTCTAATTAATGTGATTGATGAGAGAATTAAAAACTCTGGCAATGAATTTATATTTTAGCCGATCTTTCAATCGTTTTGCTTGTAATTTTCCAATTCACAGTTAGTGAAATTTTGTAATTTATCCCTTGCATATTATTATGAATATTATTATTATTATTATTATTATTATTATTATTATTATTATTATTATTATTATTATTATTATTATTATTATTATTATTATTATTATTATTGATTAGTTCTTCAATTATTCTAAATTTTTTCTATTATTTTCTCTTCTATAAAACTTAGTTCTTTCTCAAGTTGTTTATCGACAATTTTCAGTGGTGTACAAATAGAAGATGACAGGCACAATATTAGTAATGCATTTTCAAAAAACCTGTTAACGATGAAACGATTCTGGTACAGCTGTATATCCTTTATCAGTGAACCCAGATATCAGTCATTGTCAAATATTTCTTTGTTTGTAATTAAAGTACCTATGTCATCTTTGAAGAAATGGATTAGCTTTGTTCGTTTTCAAGAGCAAGAATGTCAACATTCCTTGACGTAGTTAGGAAATGACTTTTCTTAATTAAACTGATGTTCCAACACTCTCTTTTCGATGACTGGTGTTAGATGTCACTCTATCGTGCGCCAGATTACTCTCCACGGACCCAGTTATGACCAGCAACAGTCCAAATGACAAGAAAAGCTCGTGTGTTACATTTACAGATGTCCCGTTTATGTACATCAGTGATAGCCTCTTTTTGCCTTTTCAGTGACCATCCTGAGTGTCCACAACTAATACCTACTCCACATATTTGAAAAATATTTTCGGCTCGCATACAGGTGATGACATGATTGCAACTAGGTGGTGTACTTTTTATATCTGCGAATCGGCATATGTGAAAAAGTCCACATATTAGCGCATCAGTTTTGTTTTAATACAGCCCCTGGTCCATTCTCGGGGAGGGGAGGCATTAAGAGATTTAAGGTATGACCTCTGAGTTATTGCTAATAAAATATACAGGTTTCTCATACGTACTGCAATGGACATTTGACTCAGTTGCATTACTGACACCTTTGAGTCAGCTCACTTCATTTGGAAATTCTTGAGACCCCTGTCTTAAAACCATGCATGTGTGTGTATGTGTGTGTCTGTGTGTGTGTTGTTCGTCTGTCGAATCGAAAAGGACCACCTTAGTCATTCGGTGATTGGAGGGTACGATTCTGTGTGTACGTGTGTGCGCAGGTGACTCATGAGGCCAATTCTTGCATGGAAGGTTCGTTTTCGTAAGAGATAAGGGATGAGTGGGACATCTCCAGGAGAGTTGATGCCACGCGCTTTTCGGGCTCTGCAACTGCTGTCTTGCTAGATTCGCACAGCTTGAATGGAACCTATGTGCACGTTTTCCATGCAGCTATCAGATTGACTTTGAAGTGTTTCTTTTGACCTCCGTGGAATTTCTGTCCTTGCTGTAGCATGCCATATAAGAGTCTCTTTGGCAGCCGGTAGTCTGGCATGCGTACAACGTACGCCAGTGTAGTTGGGACTGAATCGGGATCGTGTGGATGCTGTGGAGACTTGCTTTGGTGAGTACCTCGGTGCTCGGTGTCTGGAACCTTGTCCTGCCACCTAGCATTGAGGATTTTCCTGAAAGATGTGGTGCAAAAGTTGTTTAGCTTCCTGTCATGTTGTTGGTACACGCGTACACGTTTCGCATGCGTAAAGTAGTGTGGGGAGCAAACCTGCCCTGTTGACCTTTGGTATGAATGCTTATGCCTCTTCTACAGACAAAAGTTATCATACAGTCTGCAGAAAGTTGCCCTGACTCTGGCAATGCAGAGGTTTACCTCGTCGTCACTGGTGACCCTATGTGACAGTGTACTGCCAAGGTAGGTGAAGTGGTTCACTACGTTGAGCTTTTGACCATTGACGATGATGTTGGGCTCAATATAAGGGCTTTCAAAGGGCTGGCTGATGAAGGACTTCAGTCTGTTTGGTACTGATGGTGACACCGAGCTGGAGCTGGAGAACATTTCAACGATGTTTTGCAGTTCGACTTCTGAGACAGCGTTGAGGACTCAGCAATAGGGAAATAAAAATTCCCTAATGTCTGTCATAACTTTGATTTTCTATTGAAGCATCCTTGGGTTGAAAAGTTTTCCATCTGTACGGTTCCTGATCCTCACTCCAACATCTCCGTCTCTAAAAGCATTAGTCAGCATGGCGTGGAAGAATAGACTGAATAGTAAGTGACATAACACTACCCTGCTTGACGCCATTGCTTACTGTGAATGGCTCAGATGTCTCTCCATTGTCCTAGACTCGTGTCTGCATGCTATCGTTGAAATGCTGCATCATGGATATATATTCTTTCGCGCATCCGTACTTGTCAATTAGCTTCATCTACCCTTCTATGCGAACAGTATCAAAAGCCGTTGTCAAGTTGACGTAGATGGAGAAAATGTCGTCGTTTTGCTCTTGTCATTTCTCTTGTAGCTGCCTCGCTGCAACCACCATGTCGATTGTCCCAGGTTCATTCCGGAATCCCATTGGTTTTCTGGCAATATGAGTAGTGAGACGGTTCAGTAGGATTCTGGCTAGTATCTTTAATTTGATTTAGTGCAAGTATATGCCCCGGTGGTTGTCGGAGGCCTAGTGGCTCCCTTTGCGCTTATACAGGTTCATTATGGAAGCGTCTGTGAAATCCTGGGGGATCGGCTCTTGCTGCCACATCAGTAAAAACAGTTGATGGAGCCATTATATCTGGGTTATGCCATCTATCTTGCTTACTTCAGTTGAGATGGAGTATGGGCCACAAAGCTTTGTGTCTCGAGTAAGGTTGGAAGGTCATATAGTGCTTCGTTGATGAGTAATTAGAGGTAACGACTGATAACTTCGTCATTGA